ACAGGAAAAATTCTCTCATAGAACAAGCTGTAAAGACATCTGGCCTGATTTTCACGGGCTCAAAATGTATATCCACATGGATAACACCTTGAATTCTAGTGAACCATTCCTAGTGATAAACTTTGTCAGGGAAAGTAGTGAAAATGAAATTAATTTGAGCAAAGCAGAGGGGAAAAATTTCTTCCAAGCAAATGACGGAATCACTGCATGGGAGTGCATTGCAAAGAATACATTGACTGTACCTTGTTTCTGTATTTGGGCATTGTTAAGGCATATTTGACAGCTTCATTGTAGCGTGACCATCCATGAAGATACTGTAAACAAAGAACCTCAAAACATCACCATTGCTGATACAAGCTAAGTATCAACTATGAGTAGAAAAATAATCTGATTGTTTCCATTAAATAGGTGGTACCATGGCTAATTCTTTACATAATTTACTATACAGAAATCATCTAATTAATCTCATATCAATTGTAAGAAAGCCTACCCTCTTGCAAATCAATGTGATCAGAAACTATCAGCTATTTGTTAACCTATCAGTATCAAATGCATATTCTCCATACTGTTCTCTATACATTTTTTAAGGTGTTGACAAGGATAATATATTTAACAGTCAAGAGTTTCCTTAGTTGGTTATCATTTCCTTTATCCTCATGACCTTAGTGTTTGATTGGAGGAGAAATAGGATACTAGTTAACCCTTTCACTCCCAAGATCTAATTAGTAATTCTCCTTACTATCTGCCATACAATTCTTATGATGTTAGTTCAGAGAATTTGGTATTGGATCAACTAATAATCCCATTATTGATATTCTTCTCTATTCTCATCACCTGCCTGCTTGATATTGTATTGACATTGTAAGGAGAAATTCTGTCTTGGTCACTTGTGGGAGTGAAAGGGTTAATGAGTTGCAGGAAACATTGAAGGTAACATTGAAATGAAAGAGAGGAGGTGAAATTGTAAAGATAACTGTTATAGAAAACCAATAAAAAGTTGACATTTAAGAAGTTTCCTTCTCCCCTTCTGTTTCAATGCCAGACTTTACAGGTTACACTCAGTCTTAAATTAGCTACAAAATGACTTCAAATTTGTACGTTCAAATTCCCTTTGTTTTTCCCACAGCTTACTGGTTACACCCATTTCAAACTATTTCATGAAAGAGCATTGGCTTCAGAGGCCAGAAATTAGCTATCAAAAGATGACTATGAGTGACCTAAATTTGAAAATTAGAATTGATAAAGTAGGGAATAAGGATATTTTACAAAATAATATGTTATTCTTTACTACCTGGAGCAATGAGACAATGGTGATTGACACAGCTATAACAACTCTCACGTCCACTTTTGGAGCCACCTGTCTTCTGTAGTACCGATAATAATGGCCATAGGTCTCCTCTGTTAAATAAAGACAATAAAATTTAATAGTAATAACATCAACACAGGAAAATTGTATTAAATGTTTGTAATCATTTCAAAATTCTTGAATCATATCAAGATGTTCAGCTATCACATCATGGTTTTGAGTGAGGCCTCAAGCTAGCTGTTCTGAAAAATAATCTTCTGAGCTCTCACTGATCCAAGGTATCATCAGTGTGAATCCATGAAAGCTTGGAATCTTTTTTTAAATACATTAGCTTAAGGCACATGCAATGGTTATCTTCAGCTACAATGTAAATTCAAGAGTTGATTCTTTACACCCCAACAACAGTACGCATATTCTCTGTACTGTTTTCAACACAGTCACAGAATGTACATTTCCAAAGGTGCTTTAACAAAGAGTTTTTTCAACAATCAAGAGCTTCTTTATTTGGTGATCATTTCCTTTAACTCTTGTGTCCATAATGGGTGATTTTGGGATGAACATTGAAAGGAGAAATTAGATACTAGTCACTTTAAGGGTGTTAAGGGCAGAACAGTACTAATTCAAGTATCATTCACACTGCCTAACCTGGATTGTCCAACATATAGTCATAGTCAGCTCTTTGTTCATCATCCTTCAAAACCTGGAATCATTGAACATTCATACACAATGTTATCAACAGTAAGTGAAACAAAATATTATCAGATCTAGCAATGAGTTTGGCAGGGGTAGAAGTTCTTGGCAAGGTTAACAGACCAAACTTGGACCCATAGACTGTTCTTAAACCTGATAAACTTGAAGGATAATGTACCCTGGGCTAAGCTTTTTGACTGGCAGATGAAAGGCATGTGCAAATTGCTTGACCTTATGATGAACATTCTAAGACTCCCTAATCAAACAAAATTTACAAGAAGCCTCAACAATAATGATACAAAAGAGTACACAAACAATAAGCAATGGTATACTGGATTTCTTTGATTGGACACCCAACCTTGAATAAGGGCCCACCCAGAGGGTAGGAAAAGTTAATAAGAACCCAGTCTCCCTCTAAATCCCTACATTCCTCCCCTTACAATTTCTGAAATTACTCTCTATGGTTCATCTTAACATTTGTTATCATTTATTGCTCTGAACATTGCAACATAGAGTTACTACTAGCTGAAAATGGTGAAAATTCAATAAGCACCTGGCTTAAATAAGCATACACTCTCAGGGTCCAAAAATTTAACCACATTTACATTGAATCACAACTAACAATGATGGTATATCACAAAATACCAATGAATAATAAAATAGACCATACAATCACCTAAATAAGATATTGTTTAACAAGTTTTTTTGTTATTACACACTTGTCATCAAGTCTAGCTGTATGTATTAATCATTTAGCTAATGAAATACACAGTGCATCTACAATTTTGGAAACACAATCCTTTGGTTTCATTCCATAGTATTCATTAGACAAGAGGTTGACCATGCCAGAGAACTTAATATATAAATTACTGAACCTTGAATGTACCCATAAATTTTTCTGGGATAAACATTTCTCACCTCATAAGCTGTTGCAATAAGTTGAAATTTGGTTTCAGCATCTTCTCCCTAAATAGGAATAAAGAAAAATAATACAGTTGTTAAATAATTCAAAAGCTTGAAACTGAAGTCAAAGCTAGTAGCATTCATTTGACACAGGTTAACATCAGAAACTTAGGTGTTGAATGAAAGGTAACATACAGAAGCTAACTAAAAAGGACCACTTTCTCTATATTGTACACAAGTCTTGCCTTCTAAGCCCAATAAAAATTTTGAGGAAGATGCAAAACACAAAATGAAGAAGTTTAATCCATTCAATCACAAGATCTCTGTAGTAATTCTCCCTTGTGTCTACCATACAGTTCTTATGATGTTAGTTCAGAGAATTTGGTGTTGGTCAGCTTATTATCCCCTGATTGATATTTTTCTTTCTTCTCATCACTTATCATCACATTTTGTAAAGTATATGTATATGTACCTTGTATCTATCAGGATGGTACTTTCTGGCAAGTTTTCTATATGCTTTTGCAATGTCAGCCTGTAAAAAAAAACAAATTGTGATCACCATGTACATGACAATTTCAAACCATTTCCAGCAAATATGGTAGGATAATACTTGTCAGCTGAAGTATATCATGTTGTGTAGTACTTAATTATCTGAAGGTTCACAAAGAGTTTTTTGACTCAGAGGATTGAAGACTATCACAAACCAAGTAACTAACAGAATCATCATAGAGGTAAAGTTCATGAGTCTTAATAAGTTTCAAGGATAGACCCTTTTCTTGGTTCGCCTGAGTGACTCCTGACCACTGGAACTATAAGATATGTTTCAGAGGTTTGTTGGGAAGGTGGACAAAGTTGGATAAGTCAGAATCAAAGTGATTTAACAGAGAAAAGAAAATCAAAATAAATTACTATAATGGTTGGGAACTGTTATAAATTGTTATCAGACTTCCACAACTATTATGAATATGTTTTTGCTTGTTTCAGCTGAAACCAATATACCAATTGAAAATACTTTTAAGAATGGTTTTCTTGCTGGCATTTTAAAGTTAAATGTGACATAAGAAATACACTGGATTTGGAACAATAAAAGAACATTCAAATTTTCCCAAAGGCTCCTTATAATTTATTCATGCTTTTGTCAACCGCTATATTGAACCTTATGATTTAAGGTCAATTAGTAGATAATTCAACACCTAAAAACCTATTGAACTGTGTTTTGTATGAGTGAGCTCTTCCTAATGTTGAGGATTTAGGCTTTAAATTATCACTCAGAGAACAAATTGCTGACGTAAAACAACGGAAGAACAATCACAGAATAACAAAGACGAGCTGATTTCAAGGGAGTTACAAGATATATAGACACACGAATAAAAATGGTCTGCTGTATCTGAGGGGAATTGATAGTGACAAAATGTTATAAAAGTATCATTTACTTTTGAATTATTTTTTTCAGCAAGATATTTAAATGAAGCTTTCTATTGGATCAAAATAACGTTGGTTTGTTTACATTCCACATCTGCACATGTGGCAACCCACGAAACCGTTCTTTAAACAAGATTAAATTTGAAGTGATTTTTTTTTCAATTTTTCACACACACGTACTCGTGTAGTATCATAAGTGAACACAAATTTCTCATTTATGAAGACACATTATCTACATCTGCTATAGATTACCTTTGAAGATTCTCTGTAGACTCCGAGCACTATAATCCAAATACAAAAAGAGAGATGCGTTAACAAATAGGAGTACATACAAGTAACACGTAAACTTGAAATCGACACCAGCATTGACTGTAGTTGATCGTCTTCGTTTGCCAACAAATTTAACCAAAACAAATTCATACCGTCGTAACAGTTTTCTGTTCCACAGTAGAGTCCCTCGATAAAGCCATATGCTGACGATGTGAAATATATTAGAAGGACAATACAAGGAACTAAAACCTTGAAGGTTGCCATGACCGTACCGTACAAGATTGCAACGAGCTCTTTAACATTCAGTGAATCTGCACATAGTCAGCGGTTACATAAAATAAATCCCACAATACATCCCGAGGTGTGTACTCTCCCTAGAGCCTCGCATTCGAAGAGCTTGGTTCTGGAACTTGTTGAACTTCCGTGACTGCGAAGCAGTAGGACGCTGATTGAAGACAGATCTATTTCATGCCTTTCGCCTTCTGTTAAGAATTTTCCAACGAAACTGAAATATGGCGGATGGGGTAGCACCGAATCTGCGTTACGGTGGAAAAGTGGCCATCGTTACCGGAGGCTCCAAGGGAATTGGGGAAGGAATTGTGAGAGAATTTGGTAAAAATTCACCCCTCGTTATTCTTAGAGGGGTGTTGTTACCTTCGTTGAAGCAGTTGCCCTGTAGAATTTACGTAAATTGCTTGAATGCAGTTGCAATTAAAAGTAAATGACTGCAGCTACTTGTAGAGGTGTCACGGTGACGCCTAAAAATTGCATGAATTATTGGAGAAAATTTCTAGCGTTAGAATTAGGGATTTTACCGGATGAGACTGAATATATAAATTTCCACACTGGAATTTATTTCGGCATAGTGAAGACTAGATGATAGCCTCTTTTGGCTTTTCACTTTAAGACCGCCTTGCAGCACTCTAGCAGATTGGGGCTTTCAAATTTGCAGATATTATTTTCTGCGTTTTGGGCGGATGCAAAACTGTTCTGCAAAGAGTATCATGTGACCTGGCTGTGGCAACAAAATCAACAAATGACGTTTACAGTGATAATGGACGTTAGAGAGTCAGTAGGATACACCCAGTCAGCGGGTTTAAAAATTTGCCAGCTCAAAAAGAGCACATACCCCAGTATTTGCACAGTGATGTATGATTTATTTAAAATGATTTTTCATATCTCTAGTGAAAGCTGGTGCCAAAGTGGTCTTCTGTGCAAGAGGTGGTAAGTAGTAACTCTGTTGTTGTGCGTACAATAAATACTTATGGCTACAGCTGTATCCGACTTCAGCAGATTTCAAACCAGATCAACAGCTTGCTACTTCAGCTAGTTCACAGATACTCCTTAAAAAAATTGTGAACTCAAAAATTCAAATTGTATGTGACATTTCTCATTCATAACTTTTTCAATGGTAACCTAGTTCATAGTTAAAGGTCAAACTCTTATGTTGATAGAAATAAGAGAGATGGTAAGTTTTGAGCTCAGTAAAGAAATAAAGAAAGATGTTTTTCATCCTGTCACAAGCATGGGACAAAGAAAAAATTCTGAGTCCTCGTGAGGAAGCAAACCTCAGACCTTCAGATTCCACACTCTGATGCTCTACCACTGAGCCACAGAGACTCCACAGTGAGTGAGGTGTATTATTTTGTCCCCTACTTATGACAAGATGAAAAACATCTTTCTTTAAAATCTTATGTTGTTTGCTGAATTAGTTGGATTCACATATAGAAGGAAAAAATAAACTTGCAAATCCTCCACACAACTTTCTCTCTTTTTCCAGCTCTTACAATGTGGCCTTATTTGTCTTGAATATGATCTGTAAGTGGCAAAATGATCAGAAATGGAGGCAAGAAAAAACTCATGTGAGCCAAAATAATGGGCCTGGGGTGTTCTGGTCAAAATTATCATCAACCCTTTAACTCCAAGATCTAATTGTTAATTCTCCCTCCTAGCTGCCACACATTTCCTTGTAAATTAGTTATGAGAACTTGGTACTAGATCAAGATAGCAGCTTCTACCTGATGAGTTTGAATATTCTCATTCCCTGTTTGCTGAATAATGTTATGGATATTGTAGGGAGAAGTTTTATGTTAATCACTTCTGGGAGTTAAAGGGTTAATTAATCGGTGAAAATTGAAAAATGCATTTTTCAACTGTAGGTCAATCCTAAATTGATTTTAGCGACCAAATTAAAAATGATATTAATGCTGATTAAATTGAACTCAGAATTGAATCACAAATCAATTTTTGTTCTTTTTACATGATTTTAGTTGAGGATGGAAAAAAACTGGAAAAAGAAGTCACTGAGAAGGGCCCAGGAGAAGGGTACTTTATAAAATGTGATGTTAGTAAAGAAGAAGATATTAAGGTATGTTGGATCCGTTTAAAACCTATCCGTCATTGTATTATTTTAATTGAGATGGGTCTATTTAAGTTAGTTGCTTATCAACTAATTAATTAGAACTAACCTCTACCAAACATTAGTGGATTTTGTGTTTTTGTAAACCTTGTGTTGTTAATGAGAAGCAGGCCCTAAATGTTCCAGGTCTTTTGAGTACATTAATGAGGATGGTCTGGTCCCATAGGCTTTTGGACTTCATTGAATTTGCTTTTTACTTTATAGAATTTGGTAGATAAGACTGTGGAAAAGTATGGCTGTATTGATTGCCTCATCAACAATGCAGGATGGCGTAAGTTCATAAAACTGTGACATCTGATTGTTTATCAAAAAATAGAATGTAGCATATGAATGAAGCAGATTATGAGAGGTGTTATTACAATATCCTAGAAGAAGTCCTTCCTAGCACTGGTTCCTTAAAATAGTAAGATGAAGAAAATCCAGGCAGAGTAACAGTTTAATTGCTTTGTAGAAGTTTTTCCATGGCCTATTTGATATGCCATAATTCAATCACTCATATTGAATCTTCATTAGACAATTTGAATTTCTTGATAGATCCTCCGGAGGGAAAAACAGTGGATCACACCACAGTTGATGAGTTTAAAAATCTGCTAAATCTTAACCTTGTGAATTATTTCATCTTTTGCAAGGTAAGTGTTAGCCAAGAGACATGAATTCAAATGTTGTAATTAGGGACAGAGCCAGGTTGTAAAGCATTATGTAGCCTTCTTTTGTAGTGGGTACAGTTCATTCATAAGAGTGGCATGTAGTAAACATTGTGATGGTATAAATTTTGGGTCCTGTTTACATTGTACTTTGTGACTCTGTGTTAAATTTTGCCATTTTAGTTTGCTCTGCCTCATCTACGCAAAACAAAAGGGAGCATCATCAATGTTTCTAGTTTAGTGGCACAGATTGGTCAGCCTGGTGCTGTGGCATATGTAGCAAGCAAGGTAAATGCAATGTTTAGGAAAAAAAACTACCTCTTGTCATGGAAAAGTGTGATGCATATTCTATTAGGTGAGGTTTGTGTTTAGGGAGAATGATCTGAGTTGTAATAACTAGCATCTTATGATTAGTCCAAACACTTAGCCTATAACTCCTAAGATCTGATTGTTAAGTCTCCCCCCTAGTCCTGACACATTTTCTAGTCAATTAGTTGTGAGAATTTGATGTTAGATTATGATAACAACTTCTATCTGATCAGTTTGGGTATTCTCATCTCCTGTTTGCTGAATAATTTATGGATTATCATAGAGAGAAGTTTCATATTAATGATACTACATGTATATTATATTGATGATATATTAAATGGTAAATATAAACAAGTTTCACTGCTCTTTCCTTAGAAAAGAAGTAAGTCAAAAACATAATTAATTATAAAATGAAATAAAATTAGGGCAATTTTGTGCTGTAGCAGCCAACTCTGTTATCAACTGAGACATTTCCCAGGTTGGCTTAACTTTGTGCTTTTAAAGAAAACTGACAAAAATGTTTTTTGTTCAGTCATACTTAAATTGTTTTCAAGGAGTTTAGTCTGTTTCAAATCCCCACAGTGTGCACTAAGCAGATAAAATCAAGACACATTATTTTGAATGCTTTTTCACAGGGTGCCATTACTTCAATGACTAGAGCTCTAGCAGTTGATGAGGCAAAACATGGAGTGCGAGTCAACAGGTACTGAAACATTTTTAACGAAGTGAGGTAATATTTGCACTCACCAGAAAACAGAGTGCTATTTGACTGAGAGTTATAAATCAATGATCAGAGCTCTAGAGGTTGATGTGGCAATACATGGAGTGCAGATCAACATGTAGCATTCTGAAACATTCTGAACCACTAGATGAAACATTCCAAACCAAATTAGACAACACTTACCTCTTTGAAATAGTATGCTTTTTGATTGAGTGTTGTTAATTGATACAGAGTTAAATTGACTGCAGAGGCAATCAGAATGATTAAATACATTTAACAATAGTAGATGTAATGGAATATCAAGCGAAATGAATGAGAATTTAAAAGTAAACACAATCATGTAGATGACATTTAGTAATAGGTTATAAGAAAGGGGTTAAGTTTTCCAACCAATTTCTAAGGTAAGGAAAGCAAAATCAATACTTTGCAGGATTTTTTTTTAGCACTGAACTAAACATTTCTCCAATCTGGTCAGTTGCATTTTTTTATTAGATATTCTCCTTGCATGTAAAATGATACATACAGTACATGCAACAGAAATTTTGCAACTTAGCTTTAGGAAAACTAAATGTGTAATAATACTTAAAGGGAGCTACTGATATATCAAAGAAAAGCAGGTAATACAATATTAGTGTTAGTAATATTTACAATGTCTTTAAAAGCTAACGCTATAAAAGAAAAAAAAGGGAAAAAAATTATGGTGTTGATTTATTCTCATACATTTACACTTAAATGAAATTGTGGAAATATCGGTATAATCTGACTGTGATGAGGGAGAAATTTAACTTATGGAGTTCATGCAAAAATGAATTTGAAAAGATGATGTGTTTCTGTTCAAATTCAGTGTCTCACCAGGAAATGTATGGACTCCATTGTGGGACCAGTTAGCCAGAAGTTCAGGAAATTTTGAAAAGAGTAAAAAGGATGGCGATGAAGCACAGGTAACTCAAACTGATTTTTTTCTAGACTTATTCTAAACCTAAAGCTTTCTTTTCTCATTTTCTTGAACAATTTAGCTTTGCCATGTTGAGCTTGGCAATGTGGACTTTCCCTGCTCAACCCTGTTATATCACTTTTAGGGGTGAAATGGTTAGGCTGAAGGTAATAAATGAAGAGGAGCCTGATATTTTGGAAAATTTCCAGCTTCATGGAGAAAACCTTAAAATGATCATTTACTGAGGTGAAAAACATCAAAAAACACGATTAACCAAAAGGAAACTAGGATTTTTAAACATGGAGAAGATGAGCACAATTTATTAATGACAATCTTGGAAATTGTTTGCTAAAATTTCCTTGATACACAGATCATGAGGTAGGTTCTTTAACCCTTTAACTCCCAAGATCTGATTGTTAATTCTCCCCTCTAGCTGCTACACATTTCCATGTAATTTAGTTACAAGAATTTGGTGTTAGATCAAGATAACAACTTCTACCTGATGAGTTTGAGTATTCTCATTACCTTTTTGCCAGATAACATAATGGTTATTGAAGGGAGAAGTTATATGGTAATCACTTCTGGATGTTAAGGGGTTCATACACAATCTGCTTTTTGTTGCTTCTTTCTGACAGTTGATGGGTCGCATGGGAACTCTTGAGGAATCTGGTCAAGCCTGTTTATACCTGGCTGCTGAGGCAACGTTTACAACTGGTATTGATCTGTTATTGAGTGGTGGTGCAGAGCTGACTTATGGGAAGAAAACACAAGTGGAGAGTGCTTAGAAAAAACATTTATACCAGTATATTTTTTATAATGATCAAATTTCACAACAAGCCAGTTCCAATTTTAAAACTCTTCAATCGTCTTCAAAGTGATTCTTCGAGCAAAAACCACTCCTGTCAAAGTTAGTTTCATCTGCAGGATGGTAACAAAATTGTTTTTCCATAGTCTAGTTTTATGACAAAGACTAGCTTTTTGTTAATGGCCATTTGAAATTTAGTAAGGTTTTATCACGCTTGGGAGGATAAGGATTTTTGGGGGGACTACATGGTTGCAGGGGGGACGGAGGGAGGATCAGTCGTTGTCAACAGAGTACAAAGTGGGGGGGCGGGGGCGGGAGAATGTAGAAAATTATCGGTCAAGTAACTGCCATTGAAGTGGGGTGGGGTGGGAAATTATGAGAATATTACAGAGCCTTATGGGAAGGATCAGGAAAATATTGTCTTGACTCATCCAACTTTCAGCAACCATACTCCCCCCTCCCCAAACCTCCCACTCCCATGGCAATAAGAAATTACCAGTTTCTTGGTGTCACACTTTTTTTTAACGCTTCGGTTCACACCTTTGACCAAGATCTTACCTCCTTCTTAAATCTTAATATATTGTTAAATAGATTGGTTATGGGAATATAGGCAATAATCAATTCAAGATAGTACTTTGATTATTCAACTAATTCTTTGAACCAAAATGTAGAGAAATGTATAATAGTCACTAAGGAGAATTGATATTAAGATCTTGGTGGTCAAAGGGTTGAAGATGTATTTTCGAGTTAGGTAGTAAACGCTTTTACTTGTAGATCTAAGGTATTGTGAAGTTTTGGTTTGATAACATTTGAGGACGCAAGCGATAAAGTAGAAAGAGATTACTTATTTTAGAGTGCATCTCGATTGGGTGTCATAAAACCAAAACTAACAAACCACTAACAGTGACCGATAAAAAGAAAACAAATGGCTTGAAAAGCCAACGAGGATTCAAAGTTAAAACACCCAACTGTCTACAGTGCGGGAAAACGCGGGCGACCCCGTCGTGATTGGTTTTAGTTTTGCATCTGATTGGTTGAGAGAGTGGCGCGAGTTGTCTTGACCAATCACAGATCGAAGTGAAGCAAAACCAATGCAATCCTGGATGACTTTCGACACAGTTGAAATGACTCCATGAGAGCTTTTGGTCTCATATTAATTGATTCAACTTTTACTTGAAATATCACACAATCTAGTCATGTTCAGTATTTTCAAATTGCATTATTTCTTGTGACGGGTTTTCGACTGCATTTGACAGCGTTCAGATACTATTTGCAGGAGGTGATTATTGTACAAAGATTTTCCAAAGATTTCATTAAAATAATTTTTGATGATAATTAAATTTTTTTAGTAATTAGATATCGTATGATAAAGCTCCCTTTAAAAAGATAAATGATTAGGTTTGGAATATTAAAAAATAATTGACAACTATTAAACGAGCGGACTGTGCGCAGATTTCTTAAGGGTGCGTTTTTCAGCCGTAGGTGTACAAACGGGGAAGGACTTCAGGAGTTTGGGCTCAAGAAGGGTTGAGAGAGGAAAACTATCATCACGAGCCTGAAAGTGTTTCACGACTGTTTTGCCATGGAAAAATGTTTTAGAGATTACTTCAGATAATTGCTCCTCTGCCGTAACCTAGGAGTTTCTTTTATTCTTCTACGAGATGTACAAGGGTTGAAGAAGTGTGTGAAAGTTTCCCCTTTTAGCAGAGTTGAACCAGCCTTTGGACCAGTGTATTTCCGTACGAAACATTGCCAAAGCCCTCCTCTCTCCCGCACCTCCTTTGGTTCCCTTTTTCGAGCTGGACGTTGGAAACTGAAGCTCTTAAAAAGTGCATATATTCGAAGGACATGTGAATAACATGGTAGCGGGTTTTTTTTAAGTAAATCTGAAGTATGTGAAAAACTGGTTTCAGTATGGCGGAAACTGTGGTCAATGTTCCTGACAAATTATGGGATTAAGTATAAACAAGTTATGGACTATAGAAATTGTGTTCAATAAAATGAATACTCGATTTAAAAGTTGGATTACGAACTTGAGACTTCTACTACGTGTACATTGATGAGAGCGAAGTCGTCCAAAAGTTAACAGCAAGACGGGCCCACGTTTTTTTTTTTTTTAATTTCGTTAACAACTGCACACTTTTGAGTTACTCTTTGTACTCAGTCTATCACGGAATAGATAGTGAGTGGCGTAGCCAATCAAATTGCAGCATCTGTGATGGAATGAAAGTAGATTTATACTAATCCGTGATTGACAATGAGCAGAGTGGGTAACTTACGGTTGTAAAACAAAACAACTACAAAATCACGAGCCTGTATTGATATCAAGGTTTGAACAAATATTGAATTTATACTAAGACAATAAGATTACCCGCTGTCGATTCCTATGCGAGAGGTCTGAAAGGAGTGTGCTCATTTCTCGTGCCAGATCCCTCGCAGACTTCTTGCGCGCTCGCTTCATTTGCCGTTTCTAACCTCAGCTCGTTTCAACGCTTGTGCTAGCACGTTAGACTTCTTCCAGCTGAAAGCTATATGTACGTCACGCAATGGGCAGAATACATAGTAACTGGAAATCTATATTTCTGGTTCGCACGTCAGATTTCACGGTAAAACAAACGAGGTTGGAACACAGAAAGTTCAAAAAACAGTCTCCTGTCACAGTGGATCTCTACTATCTATGCTGGTGAAAAGAACCCCCTTCCTCCCCTCCTGATCACACCTTTGTCGGCGGTAGCGCTGCAATCGCACGTGGAAGGCATAGGTTCAAGTCCTGGTGAAGGCTGGGGTCTTGCTCAGACTTTCCTTGCTGCAGCTTCTTTAATCGCAGTTTATTTGTAAGGACCGTCGCCCTCTTTTACTATCACAGTATTGATCACCAACCTTGGTATGTGAGACTACCTGACTGATTGAGGTACCTCGGCTGACTCGTTTGCTAGAGTTAGAACAGTGGGCCAAACCAATTGTTCTCTAGATCCAAACATTCGTGGATGCCCATTTGGGAGGGATAAACTAAATGTGTAACTGAACACTTGTGGCATTTTTCACAGACGTAGGGTAACGGTAGCTCTGCGAGTGGATGTAGGCGAGAAACAATGGGATCGAAATGGGATGATTCTTTTGAAAGCAGTTGTGAATGAATGGAAGATCCAGTCTCCTGCTATAACGGTATTTGTAACCGCCTTTTTCTGCTTGAAATGAATTCAATGGTATCACGAAGAACAGAGCAATTTTGTTTTCATTTGACTATCCACGTTGTACATAGCTGTAGTTGAACTTAACTTAAGGATCGTTGTGTGTAGAATAGATAAACAGAAATTACAAATGACCAGCTTGAAATTTTGAGTTAAATTTCCAAGACGATGCCGGTATATGACTGAATTGAATTATGTATTGACGTGGGAATGAGGTCACAAGCGACAAACCGATCCTCATAACTTTATTGGAATTAGAATATTTGCAGAAAAAAAGGGTGAAAATTTCAGGTATTGACATGAATTTAACCTGTTCTACCTGTTACTAGCCAAGTGCGACTTCCAACCCAGCTACGGAGCCTCATTTGCGTGTGGTCTTACGGTTAGAGAGACAATTTTGTTGTGGTGTTCGCGCGGACGAAGGGCTTACGCTCTAGAAGTCAGCTTTAGAAACTCTTTATGGCGGCTAATTTACATCATCAGTAGCTGAAACCAAATTTTGTAACCCCCTTTATTCCTTTAAAGGGAACGTATTACCTCGTTCCTAAAATGCGGCTTCGTACGTAGCTCAGGCGGCCGAGTAAGCGCATAACTTATATTTGGAAGACACAGCTCTGAATCCCGTCGAAGCCTGAATTTTTTTTAGACTTTGTTTTCTTCAACTAAATTACATTGAATTGTGAAAATCAAATTATCACTAGTTATTTCAAAATGCATCAGCCGTGACCAATTGTTTTAAATGTTTTCTTCTCTTGTGGAATCGTTTGCACTCCAGCGAATTATGGTTTTCAAGACAGCCTTCAGGCTGTGAATCCTTTCAGCTGTAACTCGTTCATCACGTACCATAATGATGCTTTCCTGTAAGTTATCTGCGCGCAAGGGGATTAATTCTTCCTCACCTGACGGTTCAGAACATTCTCCCATGTTTTCGTCTTTAATTCGACGAACGAGGCGGCTAATTGCGAAAATAAGAATTGCCTGTACTACCACCAATAAAACGGCGCTCGTTGAAATAAGGATCAGATTGTATTTATACCAGTTTTGAATATTTATCAAACAGCCTTCCGTGAAAACTGATTTTTGTGGCTGTATTTTGGTGATTTCGCCGTCAGGATCGTTTTGTATTTCGTACCCACATTTAATTTTTTTCACAGTGTCATTACAGCACGACACTGGAAGAGGACAGGTTTTCAGACGTGTGGAAGAGCAGGAAAACAAAACGTTTTCATCCCAATCTTTGTAACTATTGAAACCACAACATCCAAGACGTGTTTGAATTGAATCCATGGTGGTTCGTAGATTAGGATCTTCGTGATAATGGCGAATAAACGACATCCACTCAGCCCATTTACTTGTCTCTGCTTTGACTTGAACTTGATAATAAAACGCTAGGAAAGACAAGGCTACCTCGAGCAACAAAAGAACTTTAAAAGCTATTGTTATCATGTGAAGAACTTTAGTGCTTTGTTTAATCGTGCCAACACAGCCGATCGTAGCTAAAACCCACATTGCTCCGGCGAAAACCGTCAAGACAAGGCCAAGTATAGGTGTTAATAACTCCAAGAAAATTCTCTCATTTGTATTCTGTGAAAATTCCCAAACGAATACAAACAAACCGACTCCCGCGGCTGCTCCGCCGAAAAGAAATAATATTATCAAATATCCAAACACGCAACACTCGTCCCTGTTACAGCTCTGACACACGGGAGGGTACAACTCATCAATACTAGTTTCGACTGGTAAAAATCCACCAAAATCGTCCTCTTCGCTTTGCAAATAAAAGTGGTAAGAAACCATCCTCTCAGCTCGTACCTTCTCGTTATCATCTTTGACAGCCATGTTGTTGATGAGGAATTAAGATATTTTTTTTTCACTCAATTTGCATTTAGGTCATAGCCACGTGGTTGAATGTATAATTCAGAGTGATTAGGCTTCAGTTTTCTTCAGTACTTCTACAAGCAATTGCCACACACTTTGATTCATTGACGTGAGAGAGAAACACAAGAATAACTAAAACCACTCTCACCATTGATTTGGTTTCTTCCCCAAATGCCAACGCGGGGAATTAGACTGACCACTTAGTCTAGTGAGCTTGAACTTCAGGATCCCCCCTTCCTCACGCCCCATTCTCTCTTTCTCACTATAATTCGGTCGCTTTGACAGTTCTTCATTAATTCACTCCATGACTATATGCGTTATTGACAAAGCGTGAAGTATAGATGGCTGGATGTTGGCTGAGTTCCTTTTTTTGCGCTTTTAGGGACCGAGACGAGGGCGAGGTCCTTTAAAACTATAAAAAGAACGAGGCTAATATCCAGCCATCTTGATCGAACAAGCTTGGCTGAAAAAGGGTCATTATACAGCAAAAATATTTCGCTTTATTAAGAATCAAGAATGAACATTTATTTCGGGAGCCGGGAAAGAAAGACAACTGTGTTTGTAGGGCAATAAACCCACAAGAGTCGTTTATTTCTTCTCTGTTCTGACTACCTTCAGCCGTTTTTTGCGACTCCATCGCCGACACTGTCCAAAATTTACGAAGTTTGTAAGTTCGCTCCACGCAATGTTTTTCTTGCACGGGATCAAAGCGGGCAATTTCGAGCGGGCATGAGTGGCCTGATTTGGATAGCCAATCAGATCACAGCATCCGCTTCGTATTACTTAGGGAGAAAGGGAAAACGTTAGACCCCTCTCGCCATAAACAGAAAAAGGCGAACGGGAAACAACAAAGCAAGTTGGAAAGCGAGGCAACCGTTTCTCCAAAGTCCCTGTTGATTGAGTTCACTACTTTCTTTCGCTCTTGTATCCGAGAATCCTTTTCTTGTGTCATAGAGGAGCAAAGGCTTTTCCTTAAAAAATTATCTGTATCATTACTGGATGTAGAATCACTCTTTGAATAATTTCAAAATTGAAAGGTAAAGCGCTGCAGCTCATAATAACCGCGGCGCACACAATGAAAAAAGAAATGCGTACCGCTGTAGAGTGCGCAACGAACAGAGGGGAACCTAGGGGAAGACCTCCCAAAGTAAAAATCTCTTGTAACGATGAGCAAGCATTCACAGCACAAAGACAAAGGATCACAAAAAGTTAACATAAGTATGATCTTTATTGTGCACGAGACAAAGTATGGTCGTTTTAAAATGTCGTATTAAGAGCCTGAAAAACTAAAAAAATCATGCTAAGATACAGCAACAAGTACTAACCATCTATTTACGCCGTTGACGTGTAAACATAACGCAAATCACAACGATAACTCGCTTCGCGGGACATAACTCAACTTCCGACTGGTTTAAATTTATGCATACGATCCGGTGAAATCGACTTGTCTTAGCCCGTGCACAGCCCTGATTCCTGTTTCAGGATGATAAGCCAATAAGCGAGGGCGGAGAGCGAGCCGATAAGCAAGAGTTCCTCTTGGTCTTTTCGCTCCGCGCCATTCATTACGAATGCTTCTTTCGACTACCCTCTTCCAGTACTCCAGCGTTCCATACTTCAATGCGAAAGCTGATAAACATATAAATTGGGTAGACATATGCTACAATGAAAGTGACTACCTTATTGGTGCAACAGCAAGTACTTACTAGACAAAACAGTAATATGTCCTTTTGCTTTAAAAACAAGAATTTTACGGATTCTAATTGATTTTCGTGCCCGTTTACATTCCAATTTTCTGAGCCTATCCCCAGCTTCACGGATTCACATCACGTATGTGTTAAATGACTGTATAATCAACTGAAAATTACCATCAAGAAATTGATTGTCACCATTTCATCTTCATGGTCAGATATAAAATCGAATATAACCCAAATCGATGAAAATTCATTTAGTTAACACATCTTCACTTCGAACATTCAAAATTTCTAGTAATTTTGTAGTATTTTTTCATTACATAAAAAAATTATTTGATTTAAATAAATTGTCGCTTTGACCTTTTTTCATTTAACACGAGGGCAAGTAAAATTACCTAACCTAAACTGCTGCATGTCGACGACGTTAACACTAGCAAAATTAAATGTTTACATTGAAAAAGCTACTCAAATTTTGCTGCCATATTGTACTATCATCTTGCCGAAAGGCGGCAAAGTAATGAGGAAATTGTGGAAAAGTAAGGGAAGACGATACTTATTTGCAAAGAGACTAGGACAAAGAAAACGTCCATGAACCCGTCTCTGTGAAAACGAAAGAGATGACCTTTTGAAATTTCTAATTAAAAATAAAATTATGTGAGCTTAAAATAAAATTTTGTAACATTCCAAAATAAAGGGGGCTTATATTTGTAAGTAAAAGGATCACCTGCTGCAACACTACCATACTCTACTTGGCTTTGCCTGAAAAAAATCTTTGCATATCATAATATTGCTTGAATGAAGGAAGCCAAACTTCGCCTACTTTGAAATAGCTTTTACTAGTTACAAACGGCTCGGCGACTGCTTCAATTTAACGGCTAGATTTTCGGCTATCTTATCAAGAAATTCAAAAGTATTTAGGTAGTCCGACCGCTGAACGTTTGGCAATCCCTTTATGCACCCAGCAAGGTCCTTGGTCATGTCACCAGCTTCAATTGTTGCGATGCAGGTCTCCTCCAAAGTGTGGCAGAAGTTGGCAAGATTGTCATTACCTGATAAATTTAAAAATAATTTTTTCGTAAATGAAAAGCTACCTGGTAAAATCGCATATAGCATACAACACAGCGCGAACGGGTAAACGGGCAAATTTGGGCTGCCCAAGGCTGTCGGGGCTATTTTCCCGCGCAAATTTCGTAACCCTTTACACCCCAACATCTTTAGATATATTCTCCAAACTGTTCTCTATACATTTCCTAAACTGCTGACAAGGAGAATTTGTTTAAAAATCAAGAGCTCCCTTTGGTAGAGATGATTTCCTTTATTCTCCTTACCTTAAATGTTTGATTCAAAGGCGATATCGTTGGGAGAAATTAGATGCCAGTCACTCTTAAGGGTTAAAGGGTTATAGGAAGGCAGTTGGAAAAACCGGTCTCGTGCAGAAGGGAAAAGAAAAATTTGAGACTCTTAGAGGGCGACTGGTTCATCAGTTTTTACGTGTTTTTACCCTCATTAGATTAAGTTGGTTATCATTGTTATTCATTATCAATATGACACAAATTTTATTAAGTAACAGGTGTTCTACTGGTTTACCCTTTTGTTTTGAGCTTTCTCAAAAAAGTTTTACGCTTTTAAAACAACTTGACTTTCTAGTTCGTAGGGTTTCCAGTCTGAAAGCACAACGTCGGGTCGCCTCTAAGATACTTAAAAATCGATTATATCTAACAAACGCGCAGACGATTGA